GATTCATTGGTTTCTTAAGAGTGTGCTATTTAATGGTCACCAATTTGTGAATTTTCCACTTTTTCCTCTGTTACTGATTTCTAGTTTCATTGTGATCAGAGAAGATAATTTGTATGATTTCAGTCTTTTTAAATTTATTAAGACTTATTTTGGGGTCTAACGTATGGTTTATTCAGGAGAATGTTCCATGTGCACTTCAGAATAATATGTATTCTGCAGTTGGATGGAGTGTTCTGTGTATGTCTTTTAGGTCTACTTGATTTATAGTATTGTGTCAAATCCTCTATTTCTTTACTCACATTCTGTCTAGTTGTTTATTCATTATTGAAAATGGGGTACTGAATTCTCCAACTATTATTGTAGAACTGCCTATTTCCCCTTCAGTTCTGTCAATTTTTGCTTCTTGTTTTGGGAGTAGGTCTATGGTTAGACATGTATATGTTTATGATTGTTATATATTCCTGATAGAGTGACTCTTTTATCAATATATAATGTTCATCTCTATCTCCTGTAACAATTTTTGACTTAAAAAGTCTATTTTGGCTATGTGTAGTGGCTCATGCCTACGATCCCAGAACTTTGGGAGACCAAACCAGGAGGATTGCTTGAGGCTGGGAGTCCAGGACCAGCCTCTACAACAAAGAGAGACCCCATCTCTACAAAATTAAAAAAAGAAATAGCTGAGCGTGGTAGTATGCACCTGTAGTCCCAGCTACTTGGGAAGCTAAGGCGGGATGATTCATTGAGCCTAGGAGTTTGAGGCTGCAGTGAGCTTTGATCGTGCCACTGCACTCCAACTTGAGCCACAGAGTTAGATCCTGTCTCAAAAAGAAAAGTCTATTTTGTTTGTTATTATTATAGCCGCCCCAGCTCTCTTTTGCTTACTATTTTCCTGGAGTATCTTTTACTGTCCTTTCACTTTCAATTTATTTATGTCTTTGGATCTAAAGTGAGTCTTTTTTAGACAGCATATAGCTATATCATATTTGTTTATCCATCCTGCCAATCTCGGCCTTTTAATTAAAGAGTTTAATTCACTTATATTCATGTTATTACTAGTAAGTAAATATTTCTGCCATTTTGCTCTTTTTTTCCCCTGTATATCTTACATAACTTTTGTTCCTTAGCTCCTTCATTAATACCTTCTTTTGGGTTTAATTGATTTTTTTTTTTTTTTTTTTTTTTTTTTAGACAGAGTCTCACTTTGTTGCCCAGGCTAGAGTGAGTGCTGTGGCATCAGCCTAGCTCACAGCAACCTCAAACTCCTGGGCTCAAGCAATCCTCCTGCCCCAGCCTCCCGAGTAGCTGGGACTACAGGCATGAGCCACCATGCCCGGCTAATTTTTTCTATATATATTTGTTGGCCAAATAATTTCTTTCTATTTATAGTAGAGACGGGGTCTTGCTCTTGCTCAGGCTGGTTTCGAACTCCTGACCTCGAGCAATCCACCCGCCTCAGCCTCCCAGAGTGCTAGGATTACAGGCGTGAGCCACCGCGCCCGGCTGAAAAGGTGCATTTTTGACTAAACTACTTTGCACTGGATCTAGAAACTTGAGAGGAGGAAAAAAAAGAACCTAAAATGTGTTTTAATTTTCCAAAGAGCACCCCTTAACCCTGCTAACAGCAAAGGCATGTCTAGTTCCCTACTAACAAATGCTAAAGGATCCTTCTCTGGCCCAAGGCCCAAACCAGGATCCTTCCCCAGGAAGATTCTAGGTTAGTAGGTACCAGGCCTGGTGTATCTCCCAGATGTTGAGGCAAAAGGAGCCCATTTAACTCCAGGTGTTAATCAGAAACTATGCTAAAACTCCCTCTAAAACACAGGAGAAGAAATGAAAACATCTCAGCCTTCCTTAATAATATGCACACTGGGTTCAGAGAGGGCATGTTGACTCTCAGAGTGCAAGAAGGAGGAGTGGGCTTGGAGGGGGTGAGGAAGCAGATGTAGAGAAAGAGTCCCGTTTCCTCCACTCCCTTTTCTTACAGAATCTTGCCAGGAAGGGATTTGATTTGCTTTTTCTGGGTAACCCATAAAATCCTGTGGTTGGCTCAGTGGTAACTTTTCTAGGTTGCTCCTAACAAATAGGGCTGAAGGAAAGAGCAGGGCCTAAGAGGGAGCCCCACTTCCCAGAGGGAATCTATGTATTTCTGGCTCCTCTTCTAAGGGAATTGATGGGATTATTTAGCATCTTTCTGCACTGTTTGAAAATAGGAAGCTTTCTCTTCATGCTTGAGGTCTAAGCAGTAGTTCTCAACCCTAGCCCCTGGCAGACTCACTTTTTCAACACTCATTCCAGGTGATTTTGATGCTGGGGCCTTCCTAGACAATACATTGAGAAATAGTACCCAGAGTTCCAGAGAGTGTATAGTTTATTTAATTCACTGATAAGTTTAAGGAAAGTCATAAAATATACATGTGCTCTTTACCCACACAAAATACTTTAAACCCAGGAACAGAGATCCTCTTGGGGCTGTTTTAAAATCACACATCAAAGCTTGAGCTCCATAGTCAGGTGGGGATATTGCTTGATGACTTTGCTCTCTAATTTTTAGCCCAGGTTTGAGGGTAGCTGTGGGTTTGTGTTTAGATTGTTGTCTAGAGATTCCCTAGTGAGGGTCAAGCTAACGCAGGGGGACTAGTGGCCATTATTAAGTCTGATGGGACTCATGGCTTAGGCTGGGATTGGAAACAGATAAGACCTCTCCTGCACATATCCTATCTAGAAATTGCCGGATATTTGCTGAGCCTGATTTTTCTATTATACTATAGAATGAGTTTCACTAAAGTAAACAATGCTATTGTCTATAGTGTTCATACCACAAGATTTGAGGTGCCAGCTGAATTGAAAATGTTTATTTATTAAATGCATATTTCCTTGCTGTGTAGGCATCATAAGTTAGCTTTCATGCAAAGCAGATTGGGTGGTTCCTCTTAGGATTTCCAGATCCAAAGACCTCCTTTTCCTTCTCCTTTGACCTTTGGCTGGAGCTTGTGAGGGCTTAGAAGGAATAACTAAAATGATACAGGGAATAGAGGGGCTTGTTTGGATGACCCTTCAGAAAGACAACATCTGTTGGAAGCTTTTAACATAAGTAATTCACGAGTTCAAAAGCATTTATTGAGCAACCACTGTGTACCAAACACAGTTTGAGGTGGTGGGGATATAGTGCTAAACAGAACAGATGGAAACCCTTCTTTTTGGAGTTTATATTGTAGTGGGGGATACGGACAATAAACAAGATAAATAAGGAAAACATAAAGTATGTTAGATAGTGACAAAAGTGACCAGGAGAAAAGCAATGCAGGGAAGGGGATAATGAAGTGTCAGAGCTACACATTTTAAATAGGTTGGCCATGGAAGGCATCGCTGAGAACGGTAGGTTTTGAATCAAGACCCTGAGGAAGTGAGGGAGCTGCATGGACATGGAGGAAGAGCATGGCCAGCAGAGGAAACAGCAAGTGCAAAGGCCCTGAGGCGAGATCATACCTAGAGTGTTTGAACAACAGCAAACTAGCAGTGTGTCTGGAGCAGAAAATGGCAGGTGATATGGTCAGAGACAATAGGGAGACAAAGCATATGAGGTTAGTGGGAGTATATAGATGCCATCATCCAGTCCCAAAAGACCAGACTACCCTGAAGCACGAAAGAGGTTCAGAACAATAAAACGAGAGCTTTTACTCTAAGGCTAAATTTACAATTGCAATAGATAACACAAGTCAAATAAACAATATCAGGAAGAGGTGGTATAAAAATTCATGGATGATAGTTACATAAAGAAGTTAAGGAAGGTTTGGGACTACTCCTAATTTTGTATGATTGACCCCACAAAAGACAACTGTAGCATTTCTAACTTTTCCAAGAATCAAGAAAAGAATGGTGAGCTGGATTTATCATCAGCCTGACCCATTAACACTATGTTAAGTCCCCAGGCATTGGAATCACAGGTCATAAAAGGACATGTTTGGAACTATGATAGTAGCTAAAGTTCCATTGTATGTTAATCATTGGATCAGCATACAGTGGTGGTGGGAAATGTGAAAGCTGTAAGTACCAGAGGGATCCCTGGCACTTTGCAAAGCCAGTTTGAAAAGAACTTAGTGGGTAAACACAAATGGAAATTCTGTCTACCTACTAAATTACATCATTTGCTACTGGCATCCAGGAGAGAGACATTTATCACCTGGTCTTCAAAGGGGCTTCTGTTAACAGAATTCTGAAGCGTCTTAGGGATGGAAGGAGCTCTGAGAAGGCTTTCTGAGATGTGGAAAGTGTTCTGCCCAGAATCCCAGAGGAGACTATTTTGAAGTTCCTGCAGAGGAATTCAACTAGATATCCCAGAACCAAATAGTTTGGAGAGATGGAGGCCAGCCATAAGGAGGGCAAGGTTCCAGGCTCCATCCCCACCCCACTGAGGTGGGAGCACCCAGCTTCTGAGGGGCCTCCCACCAGCTTTGCTCTCAGGAATAGTAATTATAAATAAAGGCCGTGTGCTCTCTATGAAAATGCAGCTTGCACATAGGCCCTCTTCCAACCTGATTTTCTTCTCTTCACCCAACCCTTCCATGTAGAAATCGCAGAGCCGTGCTGGGTTTCACTGACACAGATTGTGCCTCTCACCTCAACCAGATGTCTTCCTGTCAATAAGAAGGGGGTGTAGGACAAGAGAACATGCGGGGTTCCCTCTGACCTTGTAAACTCCATTAAGTGGTTGTGATCCTGTCCCAAGGGCAATGGGATGCCCCTGAATGCTTTCTAAGCAGTAGAGTAACACGGCCTTCTTCCTGTTTCTTGTTTTCATCTGCAAGGGAACCAGTAAAAGTGTGGAGCTTGCCTCTAATGTATGAGCCTGTTGACTGGGAATGCAGGAAAAGGGAACAGTGGTTCAGGAAGGATTTCTTATCTAGGAATTCTTCAGCCAGAAGAATTTCCAAAGTTTGAGAGCAGTGGTGGCATATGGCATATGGGTTGACTTGTTTATTTTCTCCTCCCCTCTGCAGAGCTCTGAGCCACCATCCGGACCTGATGACTCCCAGTCCTTCACTGCATTTGCCATGCTTGCCTCTACCGGCAGCACCCAGCTGCCCATGGGTTTCAGCACCCCACCCACCACCAAGGGCTGTTTGGATTCTTCGGCTGCTCGACACAAGATGGCTTTAAATCCTCGGAAACAAAAGAAGAAAAAGAACCTTCAAGTGAGTATAAGTCCTTGAGAGACCCAGGAATAAACTCCTATATATAAAAAAATAAAGATGAATTCCAGCCTTTGCAAACTGCTCCTAGGGAAATGGTATGGTTTAGGAGACCCATACCCTAACTAGAGATGGCAAAGTCGAGGGCAGCATCCTGGGCTTGACACCCTCAGAAGGGTGAGCAAGCTTGCATCCATCGAGTGGGGTGTCCTATCCATTTGGAACTTCTATAAAAGAGACTAAAGACAGCAGAAACAGTGAGTCACTTAAACCTCCAGAAATTGCCAATTGGCTTAGCATCTGGGAATTCACTCAGCCCTCTTTGTAGAGGATATTCAACCCTCACCCCAGATCAGGATTCTTTTCGTTATTAATCAGATGAGACCCATTATTGATGAATTGTAGCACTTTTCTACTCATTTGGAGGTCAGGCTTCCAGCAACTGCAAACATTCAAAGCTCAGTTGTTAGCCCCTCCAGAGATCTCCAAATAGATGTCACAAAGTTCTGCCATATGACTTTCTAGCAACCAGACCTACTGCCAGGTGTGGTAACTGATGCCTGTAATCCTAACACTCTGAGAGGCTAAGGCAGGAGAATCATTTGAGGTCAAGAGTTTGAGACCAGCCTGGGCGACATAGTGAGACCCTATCTCTACCAAAAATGTTTAAAATTAGCAGGGTGTGATGGTGTGCACCTGTAGTCCTAGCTACTCAGGAGGCTGAGGCAGGAGGATTACTTAAGCCCAGGAGTTTGAGGCTACAGTGAGCTATGATCATGCCACTGTACTCCAGCCTGGGCAACAGAGCAAAACCCTGTCTCAAAACAAACGAATGAACAAATAAAGCATGGCCACATATCACACTCAGAGACTCGACAGTAAAGACAAGTGACATATGATAACAGAGAGAGAAGACAGGAACAATCTGGGGCCATTTAGTATTGGGGCTCAAGAACTTTGCCCACCTCGATAGGTCCCTCAGGGCCTCACTATATCATAATTCAATGTAAAGGATCATGTTCATTATTTGTCTGAGTCAAGAAAAGGTGGATTATGTTCCCTGATCCCCGTTTAAGAAGATAGAGAAGTAATGCTTTTGAAAAAGGTTTTTACTAAAAGTTAAGAATTAAAAGATGCTGGTGTTGAAAAGGATGTGTCAGCTGGAGAGTTCACTTTGGTCAAACACCCAATTCCCTAGCTTATCAAGGAGTGATCTAAAAAACAAAAACATCCAGTTCTCCAGTTCTCCAGTGATTCTGGGCTAAAAGGAAGAGGCTGTAAATCAGAGCAGGTAGAGAATAAATGACTGTGTAGTACAAGCATTTTGCAGGGGAGGATGTTAAAGCACAAATAATTCAAGTACATCCCCAAAGTCAAACACCCAGGTGGTGGCAGGTCTAGGGTCAGAATCCAGTCTTCTGACTTCTAGCCCAGTACTTTTTTCACTCCACCACATTGCCTCTAGCTTGCACATCTCAATTTCACTTTGGAAAGTGAGCAAAATACAAGTTGAATAGTTGGAGAAGCAAGGGAGGCTGAGGGAAGCCCTCTGGTGGTCCTGGGAAGATCTCCTTAGTTTGGTGTCAAGGAAGGGGTGACCAATTACTAGGTGCCAAAGCTTATACATGCATTATCTCCTGGACACCTCACTGCAAGCCTAAGAGATGGGGAATGTTGACTTTCTCCCTTATGCATGGCCTAGTTGAGAAAAGGCCTGGGCAGCATCCTCTGAGAAGGCTGAGACAGCTACTTCTTCCCTGTCGCTCTCTCCCTGCCACATAGGTGAATAGAAAAAGGTCTGAGATAATTTATGACACAGGGGCTTCTACCACTTTTTTCCTGCTCTGGAATTTCTTAGATCTGCAAGTCCCACAGGTGGCTTCTCCTCATCTCACATTTATAGATGTGGACACAGAGATTCAAAGAATAACTTGTCCAAGGTCACACGGCAAGTAAATGATGAAGAGATTTGAACCCAGGTCTATCTGACCTCATTTACTCAAAAGCAAATGATTTTGAGCTAAGTCTGTTTGCACAGGCACTTCAAGTGGGAGTATAGAGTTGTATGTGTTTCTTTATATGTGTGCCATAGAGGGATCACACTAAGCAAATTCCAGACACTGTTCAGTGCAGCGTTCCTCTGACATTTCCAGAGCTGCACTGCAATTATCTAAAAACCTTGTTTAGACTAAACCAATTTCAACTCATTCACTGTAAGGGCTGAGCCCTTCATCTTTTCCTTTCTTCCCTCCCAACAAAACCCCAATCCTCTTTCTTCTTTTGAGCTGGAAAGACATAATTTATGCTTTCTTTAAAGTCCCTGAAAAGAAGCCAGACAGGATTTGAATTTGGCTCCAGGGCCGGTGAAGCAAATCTGAGAATTCCAATGTCGCCAAGGGCAGGATTGCCATCAGGCCCAGCAACCCTATTTTCAGATTTCTGGCCTTCCAGTGTGGTTCAGTAGTTTCTGGGGTGTTTCAGAGAGATCTCTGCAGCCTGTCACTCAGAGATGTTAATGTAAAAAAATCCAAACTCTGTAAAATCTCTTAAAGAGATTTATTCTGAGCCAAATTTGAGGACCATGACCCGGAGCCACTGCCAAGAGGCCTTGGGAAAGTGGACTCGCTGTGGCTGGGTTACAGTTTGGTTTTTATACAGTTTAGAGACAAGGGTTATGGGTAAAGCCATCAATCAATGTGTGGGAGGTATACATTGGTTTGGCCCAAAAAGGAGGGCCATCTCAAAGCGGGGGCTTACAGGTTATAGGTGGGTTTAAAGATTCTTTAGATTGTAATTGGCTAAAGACATGAAGCTTTGTCTAAAGAGGTGGAATGTTTTAACATAAACTGTTTACCAGAGGTAAGCCACCATTTGTTGCAAATAGAAGGCCTGCAGGTTTGTCTTGCATACCCTCAGGCCTATTAATGGGTTACAAAGGAAGTCTCCAAGAAGGGAGGGGGGCATGATAAGGCCTGTCTGACCTCCCTCCTCCTGGCAGGCAACTTTGCCCTTGAATATTCCTCTGGCCAAGAGGGGGTCCATTCAGTCAGCTGGTAGGGGTTGAGGATTTTAGTTCACAGAGATTAGAAACCCCAAATGGGGATGAACAACTTCCAATCAGTAGAATGATTCCCAGGGATGTGTCAATGATGGATGCCATTGGAAATAACTTCCATCTTTATTGGTATTATTAGGCACCCAGCATCAAGTACCTTTTTCCTACTTTTTTTCTTTCCCTTTCACAACCACGAAGGGATAGGCGAAGGGCACGTCAGCCAGATTCAAGCTCTTTCTTTCCATGTTTTAGGGGAAACTGAAGCAGGAGGAGTCTGAAGAAGAAAAGATTACAACCAAACCAAAAGAAGCCACCCGAAAGAAGCTGAAAAAAAGCAGTGCAGGTTGGCACATCTTCACTTTCACCCAGAAACACGTGTGACAGGCTTCATTGTACAATGCTATGTGACAGGAGCTATACACAAGAAGTAGCCAGGACTGCTACCCTCAGTCTTCAGAGCTTTCCGTTTAAGATACAGATAAAAGTGGTCCAGGTTTCTCCATCTAAACTGCCAGATTAGTGCAGTTGCCACTTGGGTGGGATTTAGGTTAAAGGGTCATAGCTGGATTCCTATTTTATCTAAATGAATTTCCAGCCAAAGAGGTGTTTCATTTGTAAATGTGTTTAATCCTCTCTGAGGCTAATGTACATGCTGAGTTCCTCAATGAGCCCAGATAGGAAAGTGCTTGCCCTTTAGCATTCATCTTCAACAGCAAAACCAGACAAGAATAATAGAATTGGCCCCTAAAATCATTTTTTAAAGTAGCCTTTCTCTTCCAATAGAGAGAAAAGATCTTGTGTTAACAGTGAGACCATTTCCCATATCAATGGGCAGAGAGAACTCAGGCAGCTGCAAACAGCTGTCCTTGGCAGCCAACATCTGTCAAATTCCCAAACAACAAATATCATCCGAGTGAAAATCTCTCTGTGTGTTTGTGTGTGTGCATATGTGGATGTTGGCTCCAGCTGAAGGCAAGCTAATTTCAAGCAATATTTGATAAAACAAAATGCAGTTCCACAAATTAAGTGGCACAGTTATTCATGTTTTTGCCACAAAGGATTTCACATGTGGGTTCAAAGACAGGATATTCCTAAATACATTTTCCCATGAAAACTAACAAAACCACAAAACTATCCTGCAAAAAAATAGAAAGATTAAATGAGTAATCTTTTATGTTGTTTTCAGATTTATTTTTTTAATAGTTGTCTCTTTTAAACACAGAGGCTAGAACCAAGTCAATACCCTTGGGGGCAGATACTTTGGTTGGTTTTCCATATAATGGGAGTGGTTTGGAGCACAATCAGCAATTCCAGCACTGTATGCTGGATGTGAGATGTGCGCTGGATGTGATATGAAGCCACTAGATGGAGCTAGGGATACAACAGATGGTGAGGGAAGAAAGGCAGCAAGGAGTCCTTTCACCTGGGGATCAAATTAAGTTACTTAGACAAAGTACTGGAAAGTACTAGAAAGTACTGGAAAGGAGAGGAGCAATCTATATAACTACTACCTTGTGCTTGACCAGAGGCCTGTTAAGGTGTTCCAAGAATTGCTTTGCATGTATATTGCATAGGATTGTTTTAATATAAGAGAGGAGAAATTAGAAGAAAAGAGGGCCATAACTCAACCTCCCAGATAACTCCTATTGATACCTTTATAAAAAAACAAAATAAAAGCAATACATGTATACGATATGAAATTTCAAGCAGTTCAGATAAATATTAAGTAGAAAATAGAAAAGCTACCTAGAAAGTAAAAATTTCCCTTCCCCCTGCCCCAGTTTCCTCAAAGGTAATCATTGTTATAAGTTCAAATTTCGCCTTTTGATATGTCTCACACCCAATGGTGGACCAGACTATTAATGAAATGGTGATGAGCCAACCTAGGAATCAGTTCATAAAACTGGCATTTCCTTCTGATTTAAAAATGTCTGAACTGCAGAAAGCTAATGGTGACCAAGTTGCTCTCTGTCTTCTGAACAGCCAGTTCTCCATACTAGGGAATTCAGTAGCAAATAGGTACCCATTAGGCCAGGGCATAGTACTCTTATTTTAGGAAGTCAAAAGCACACATGTTTTTCCTTTCCTTATTTGTCTTTGGTACAGGTTTCTCAAGCCAGGAACAGAACAGCAAAACTGAGATTTATGATAAGAAGACAACAGATCAGGCTCTAAACACGAATGCTGCTGCACGTCTGGGCTATCCAGCATTAGCATCACATGGAAGAAGACGGAGAAGAAAAGGATCAAGTACTTCCGGGACGAGTGAGTCTGGATCCAAAGGAAGAAGCTTTAAACAATCCAGTCGAGGGCGTGGCCTGGGCGACAGAGCTGGGTACTCACCTACTGATAAGACTGACAGAAATTTCTGGCACCTGTCCTTGGAGAAGCAAGTCATGGAGCAGCAAACAACCATACAAGCAGAAACCACCACTTCTCAGGAGTTTCTTTCAGATAAAGGTGACACAGGCAAGAGAAATGCTGGCATAGATTTCGAAGCCAGAAAAGCATCAGCACAACCCATACCTGAAGATGGGGAAGAGTCCATGGCTAGTGGTCCACTACCATGCCATGAAGAGGAGGCTTCTGGAGCTGTGAAGACAGAAACCAGAGCTTCTCATTTACCAATGGTGAAAAGCCTTTCTACAACCCAAAAAGAGTCCATTCTCTCAGTGGCAGCAGAGGCTCAGATGTTTATAGATCCTTCTCATATCCAGTTGGAAGAGAAAGAAGCTTTCAGTGTTTGTTCACAAAATGTCCAATCCAAAATGGAGTCAGCCCACAGTGTCACAACTACCCACAAAGGAAAGCTTCCTAAAAATGCTCTCCAGGCCTTTGCAGCAAGCGTTTGGGGTATGATGGGTGGTACTAGTAATACGGCCGAGGGAGGCATTTTTGCCCACAGGCTACCTCGCAAAAGCCTTGCCAAGTCCTTGAGGAAGCCTGAAGCTGAAGATGTCCCCTCCGATTCGGAGAGTGCTTCAGAGGAGGAGAGTGGTTCTGAGGAGCAGCTGGCTCCTGGACACACTTTCCAGTCCTCGTGGAAGCTTGAAGATGAAGAAGAAGTCTTCCCAGAATCAGAAGGTTTAGCTGTCAGATTAAGCCATTTTGAGAAGCAGGTGTCTCCTGGATACTCTCCCCAGTCTTTGGGGAAGCCTGAAGCTAAAGAAGTCTCCTCAGATTCAGAGAGTAGCCCCAAGGAGGAGAGCGGTTCTGAGGAACTGGCTCACAGTCACTCTTCTCACTCCTTGGAGAAGCTTGAAGATGAACAAGCAATCTTGTCAGAATCACAAAAATTTGTTATGGGCTTCAACAGCTCTGAGGAGCAGCTGGTCCCCAGATGCATTTCCCAGTCCTTACAAGAGCCTGAAGATGAAGAAATCTCCACAGAATCTGATAGTTATGTTGAAAAGTACAACAGTGCTGAGGATTGGAGCAGCTCGGAGGAAGATCTGCCCCTCAAACACCCTGCCCAGGCCTTAGAGAAGCCCGAAGACCAACAAGAAGTCTCTTCAGTTTCAAAGAACCCTTCCAAAGAGGGGAATGTTTCTGTGCAGCAACTGGCTCCCATATGCCCTTCTCAGCCCACTGTGAGGCTTACTGTTCAGCAACAAGTCTCCACCAGCTTAGTGAGCACTGCTGCAGAATGGAGCAGTTCTGCAGGGCCTATGCCTTCTAGACACCCTTTCCAGCCATGGGTGAGCCCTACATGTGAGCAACAAGTCTCTGCAGGTCCAGAGAGCGCTGCTCTGGAGTGGGGCATTTATGTGGAGCCACTGCCTCCCAGAATGTCTTCTAAGCGCCTGATGAGATCTAAAGTTGAGCAAAAAGTCTCCACAGGTCCAGAAATTACAAGTATAGAAGGGGCTGTTTCTATGGAGCTGCTGTCTCCTAAATGTCCTTCCCAGCCCTTGGTGAGACCAATGGTCAAGCAACAAGTCTCTGAAGAAGCAGAGAGTGCCGCTGTTGAGGGAAGCATTTCTATGGCATTGAGCCCTCCTGGACACCCTTTCCAGCCATGGGTGAGCCCTAAAGTGCAGCAAAATGTTTCCTCATTTCCAGACAGTATGGCTGTTGAGGGGAGCATTTCTATGAAGCCTCTGTCTCCTAATCTTCTTTCCCAGCCCATGATAAACCCTAACGTTCAACAAAACATGTTCTTAGGTTCAGAAGGTGCTGCTGGGGAGCCTCTTCTCTCCAAATATTCTACCCAGCACTTCACAAATCCTCAAGTCCAGCAAATGTCAGAAAGCACTGCCATCGAGGAAGCCATTTTTGTGGAGCTGCTGCCTCCTGGATGCCCTTCCCAGCCTTTGGGGAGGTCCAAATTGCAACCACAGGTGATTACCCTAAACTCAGCAGGCACTGCTACAGGATGGAGTGGTCTTGTGGAGCCAGTGCCTTCCAGACACACCTTCCAACCATGCGTGCACCCTACATTTGAGCAACAAGTCCCTGCAAGTCCAGAGAGTGCTGTAGCTGAGGGGAGCATTTCTATGGAGCCAATGTCTGCCAGACACCCTTTCCAGCCATGGGTGATCCCTACATTTGAGCAACATGTCTCTGCAGGTTCGGAGAACACTGCTGTTGAGTGGGGCATTTCTATGGATCTACTGCCTTCCAGAATGCCTGCTCAGCCCCAGGCGAGATCAGTAGTCAACCAACCAGTCTCTGCAGGTTCAGTGAGTGCTTCTGCAGAATGGAGCGGTTCTATGGAGCCCATGCCTCCCGGATGCCCATTCCAGCCCTGGGCAAACCCAAAATCCAAACAACAAATCTCTGCAGGTTCAGAGAGCTCTGCCGCTGAGGGGAGCATTTCTATGGAGTCGAGGCCTCCCAGACATCATTCTCAGCCCCGGATGAGATCAGTGTTTGAGCAAGAAGCCTCCTCAGGCTCAATGAGCACTTCTACAGGAAAGAGCACCGATCCTGTGGAGCCAAGACCTTCCAGATACGCTGTGCAGCCTTGGGTGAACCCTAAATTCAAGCAACAAGTCTCTGCAGGTTCAGAGAATGTTGCCACTGAAAAGAGCATTTCTTCAGAGCTGCCAATTCTCAGACGTCAATCCCGGTCCACTGTGAAACAGAAAATCCAGCAAATGTCCTCAAGTTTTAATGCTGCTGGTGAGATGACCAGTTCTGGGAGGCCACTGCCTCCCAAATATCCTACCCAGTTATTGGTGAAGTCTAGAGTTCAGGAAATGTCCTCACGTCTAGAAAACAACACTGGTACTGAAGAAAGCATTTCTAAGAAATCACAGGGTCCCAGGCGTCCTTCCCAGTCGTTTGTGAAGTTTATGGCGCAGCAAATCTTTTCAGAGAGCCCTGCTGTTGAGGGAGGCAACGTGGATCCTCTGCCTCAAGATCCTTTTAAATCTTCCACCAGGCCTAAAGTCGAGCACCAAGTGTTCTCAGAATGGGAGAGTGCTGACCCTGAGGGAGGCATTTCTGTGAAGAGGCTGCCTATGAAGCATCCTTTACAGCCTGCAGGGAAGTCTGAAGAACCACAAGAAGGTTTCTCATATTCAGAGAGTGCTCCTGAGAAGTGGAGCGATTCTAAAAAGCAGCCACCTCTGCAACAGCTTTCCCAGGACTTGGGGAAGCTTGAGTACCAGCGAGAAGTCTCCTCAGTTTCTGACAGCTTGTCTGAAGAGGGCAAGAAATTTGAAGAACGGATGCCTTCCAGATGTCCTTCCCAAGCCTTGGATGAGTCTGAATTACAGCCACAGGTTGTCCCAATGCGCTCAGCGAACATACCTATACAGTGGAGCAGTCCTGCGGGGCACCTGCCTCCCAGTGACCCTTTCCAGGCTTTTGGAGACCCTGAATATCAGCAACACATTTATTCAAGTTCTGCTCCTGCTGAGGGAACCATTTTCGAGAGCAATGCTGACAGCTGGTCCCCACCAAGAGTCCCAGCTGCTCCAAACAAAACCAAGAAGCACAGTCAAGGTTCTGAAGACCTCATTAAGAGCAGCCTGACGCCTGCTACCAAACCTGGGAAGTTTACCACTGATCCTGCAGGGCAAACATCCATTTCTGGGGGCACTTACACTAAGGAAGAAGTTCTTGAGAGTGATGGTAAAAAGAATAACTGGCATTCAGATTTACGCAATGAGGGTGATGTTGAAAACCTTTTTGGAGTTCGACTGAAGAGAATCTCTTCCTCACAGAAGTATAAGAGTGAGCAACAAGATTACTTTACCCAGCTTCCTTCCTTGCCCTTGGGCCCAATCTCACCCTATGCAGGTAGAGAACCTCAAATCAAAAGAAGCACTTCCCAGGGGCTCCTGAACACTGCAGAGAACCTCACCGCAATATCTGACTCTGCAGAGAAGCAAAATAGCAGCTCCAAATCTGAAGGCATGGCCAAGAAGAAACCTGCTTATAAGACCTCAGGTGAGACTTTTATCTTTGCAGATGGCAAGTAGGTACCAAGTGGAAGGAAGAACTAGAAACAAAGCCTTAAACAGGCCTTAACATTTGCTCTAGCCTCGCCTAGTAAGTTGATGCTTTGATAGGGCTAGCTTGTGGATTTGGGGGCAAGATAATGCCCCATTCTAGGTTAATAGATTTGGAAGTAGTTAATTTTGAGTCTTCCCCTCTAAACACACATCCACATTCCATAATGGACACATGACCATCTCCCCATTCCCTCTTCTCCCACTGTGTGTACACCTTACGTTTGGATGGAATTTTATGCTTTTCTCAAAATACTTTTACAAGTATTGTGCTCCTACCCAATACTATGTGGATTTTTAAAGCCAACTCATTAGTAGAGCATTATGTTCAGACTCTCAGCCTCAAATCTTAATTTACTGTAAATGTTTGTACTCTCAAGTTTCTTCATTTACCTGAAATATCTAAGAGTCCAGAGCTAGGTGATCTTTGGGGCACTAATCCCTTCCAAAACCTTTCTACCTTCACACTCACCATCACATAGTCTTGTATATATGCCTGTAACCACACTCTGTAGCCACACACCTGCATGAGACACTGCGATGTTAAAAATACTCCAAGATTTTCTTTGGAGTTAGAGGAATGACATCAACGGACTGAGCCTCTGACCTCCTAGGAATTTTTCCAGCCACCTAGCAACCTTTGTCCTACCCTGATTTGGGAGTGGGAGGAGGGATGGACAAGGAAAGGAAAAGGCCAGTAAGGGGATGGTATACTCACTTTAAAGTACAGCTTCTTAACTACTCAAGGAACCCCTACCTTGCCAAGGTGTGTGGGAGGAGCACAAAAGAAGGGGGCCCTTCTCTACTTAATATCTGTTTATTTTCATTTGGCAATTAACAAGGATTCCATTTGGGACATTATTATTGGTAAGCCCCAGCCAGGCTCAGGACCCTGCCTACCTCCTCCCAAAGTGTGTTTGAAGAGCATGTTTCTTTCGACTACCATAGGAATTAAACAATAGTCAAATACAACAACAACAACAAAAAGACCCTGCCTACCTTGCTTCAGTTCTATCTCCTTTTATTCCTTTCTCAGAAAACCATCCTGGTCAGCCAGATGATGCCATCTCAGAGCCAGCTTGGATAACCATGGCAATGCAGAAGCAGAGGAGTTTCCAGGCCCATATTCCTATGAAAGAGCCAAAAACCAAGAGCACAGCTGGAGCCAAGGCTGAGACTAAGGAGCCTAAACATGGGGTAGGACCTGGGGCAGTGCAGAAAACACTCCCAAAGGTTGCTGGAGCCACTGATTAAGCTTCCATTGGGAAATTTACGAGACATGCAGCTCCCCCTCTCTTTGGGAGCATTTATCAAGGCAGGAGGACTCTTCGGGGGAAAAGACTTGCTTTGTACTTATACAAATGTGCCCCACTTTATGCTCTTAAAGGGTTTGTAAAAAGTAGTGAATATGGAGAGTCTGTAAATCGAAGCCTGTCCTAAATATTCTAGGGAAGGCTTTCATGATATTGGTTGAGAAATAAGGAGTCACCTTTCCATTTCAGTACATAACAATATCCCTTTCTCTGTTTGATGTTTGGATTTGGTTTGGAGTGGCACCTACCTATAGGTTAAAAAGATGTTCCGTGGTGAACTAGGCTAATAGTACCACACGTAGGTCAGGGATGATGGGATGATACCTTGCTCCCCTCTTACCAAAACTGCAGAAAATTGACTCAAGAAAACATGACATATACATATCAAGAGATATGTCTAAGTTCCTATACTTTTAAGTGCTTACTAAATTTGTTGAGGGACCTCCGTTTGTTGTGAGGACCTATTTAATTCTTTGCTTTTAAAGATCTTTTCCTTCTTTCTTTTTTTTTTTTTCTTTTCTTTTCTTGAGATAGTCTCGCTCTGTTCCCTGGCTAGAGTGCTATGGCGTCAGCCTAGCTCACAGCAACCTCAAACTCCTGGGCTCAAGCGATCCTCCTGCCTCAGCCTCTAGAGTAGCTGGGACTACAGGCACGCGCCACTGTGCCCAACTAATTTTTCTATTTTCAGTAGAGATGGGGGTCTTGCTCTTGCACAGGCTGTTCTCGAACTCCTAAGCTCCAGCAATTCTCCTTCCTCGGCCTCCCAGAGTGCTAGGATTGTAGGTGTGAGCCACCGCACCCAGCCAAAGATCTTTTCTTTTTCATCATTAGTATCTACATGGGAGCAGGATCATACAGGGATAAGGTCCACCTTGGTTAAAGCTTTCGTCAGGAGGAAATACACTAGTGTACATAAACTCATGAATTCAGACCAGTTATGGAGAGGTTAATTTGAAAAAGCCTAAACTAAAACTTTGAAAAGACCTACAGTTATATCACTTTCTAATATAGGCAGTGCTTCAAATCGTATGTTTTGAAAGTTTTGAAAAGTAGAAACCCCATAGAACTCACATCAATGAGCTTATCAGATTTGTTTATTACCAGCACGTTCTGTTAGCTTGCTATTAAGTGCTGGTAAAGTGCTAGGGAAAAGATTGTTTTCAAGTTAACTAATTGTCATGTTAACCTGCTTACACTGTTTGTATAATTAGACAACTTTTTCTTTCAGGCCTGAAAAGTGATAAACTTGAGCTAGCTTAGGTTTTGTGAACCTAAATTCCCAACCAAGGGGCTCAGTGCTATTTCTTTCCTTAACTATATCTGTATCTAATCTCTTTCCTTTTGGTTGCTGTTGAACTCATAATACCCAGGACAGGGCTTACAACCTATGGTCTTCTGAATAATTTGCTGTTTTAATGTCAGGACTTACAAGCTTTCTGTTTTCATTTTTGTGTTAAAGGGAACTGGCCCTGCCAATGAAAACCAACCAAAAATGATTTTAACTGCTGATGTCCGTAAACAGGGGAAAGCAGCAGAGATGAAGCTACCTAAGTCTACCAAATCAGGTAAAAGCACACACCCTGACCCCCCCCCCCACACACACACAGAAAAAAGGACAGCCCTGGCATAATGTTATGAAACTTTAGCACTTTCAAGCTAAGGTAATACATGTCTCTTACCCCTCAAATCAGCTTCACTAATCTCTAATGGCTCATTCATTAGCTACAGATATCAGCTTGTTTTAGGAAAATCCAATTATTATGACTAATTTAAGTGTCTAGTGTGTAGCCTTCGGAGGGTTTTCTAGTCTTTCACTTCATCAAAGAAGCTGTCTAGGCACAAAACCGTGGTCACTCACTAAAACATTCTTATGCCTGGGTAAGCAAGAGGAAAATACCAAGTCACTTTCCAGTTCATAGCAAAGCAGTATTTTCTCACCTTCTACATCTCCAATGAAGCTGTTGAAAATAATTCACTCTAAAGTCCCAATGGTATTGAATTGTATTTAATTATTTAAAAAGCTTGTTTCAGCCCCTCTGTATTCTGAGCAGGGATGTGGAGAGGTGGGGAAATGTTGATGGCTGAAAAAATACTGTGCTGAGATATAATAGAATATGATCTTATCAGTAAGAGTTGTGGGCCAGAGGGACATTTTTCACCCAGAGCAGTGATGAGGGCAGGATGGATTTATATTGAATCATCTTTTCCCTCCCCCTTTATCCCTCTCAGGAAGAAATTAGACTAGGAATTCAGGAACCCATTATATGAAATAGCAGCAGCTGACCTGCTTACAACTATTAATGGCCTCATAGGCACTCTACTCCTGTTGTTTTTCAACTCTCAGTGTGCATTAGAATCACAGTGATTTTAAAAGCAATTAGAGCTTTTTAAAAAGTGCCTATGGCCCTGGCTCCATCCCTAGAGATTCTAATTCAGTTGCTTCAGGAAATGTAGGGGACATGTTATTTTTAAAAGAGCCCTAGGTGTTTCTAATGCATAGCCAGGATTGAGAACCATTGGTTGAGTATGAGCCACTGAGTAAATCAACCATAAAGCAGGATGAGGGGGAGGGAGTGGAATTGGGGAATAGGATGGTAGTCAACTTGGCCGAGGTAGTTGGTACAATATTGTTTAGCATCGACTTTTACTGGGTGTGTCTATTGAGTCATTTCATTTCACTCAGTCACTTGGTCATTTCATTTCACATGACATTATGGATTGGCAAAGCAAAAATAATATTGCTTTATTTGAAATTTTAGAAAATGAGCAGATACAATATGTTTCCCCTCTGGTCTCAGTTCAAAAGTGTAAGACAATCCAGTAGTAATTACCCAAAGATTGGCAGTTCCAGCTATAGATATTACCTCTCAGGCCTTCCTCTGTTCAGGTCCCTATGGCCATAGCTGTGTTGATTTTACCCATTTGACATTGCCCATGCACTGACTTTTAGAAGCCTGGCAATGAAGGGAAAAGGAGTTGGAAATCTCTAAGAGTAGAGGGATCAGAGTAAAGCTGAGAGGAGGAAACATTTTATTGCATCCCATAAACAACATATCCCAGTATATCTGCGGTTTCTCACTGCTTGTGTGTTATTTGCTGTGGTTCCAGTTGAGTTTGAAGATCAGAAGATACCACAAGTACCTACCATGGGGAAAGAAACCAAACGATCTTCAACTCTCCCAACTACATTCCAACAGCTGGTTAAGCTGGATAAGTCTGTTGAGCCGATTGAACCTGTCTGGTTCTCCATGGCCAAGAAGAAAGCCAAAGCATGGAGCCACATGGCAGATATCATGCAATAAGTAGTTCCTGGGTGTAGTCTCAGCATTTTAAATGATAATTGCCAATAGCTGTATTAATAGTGATCTCTTTACTGTTACCATTTTTTATTAAGCAAAAAAGCCTTAGAAATGGGAATTAAAACATAATTATTTGAATGAAATAAATGCTATAATGCCTAACCTTCAGTACAGTCACTACCACCATCAGGAAACCCAGCATTTCCTCGATAAAAAACCATGGCAAGTGTTTGCACTGCTGTAGAATTGCAAAATCTTCAGCTTTGGATAATGTGCTTTAGAAAGGAGAAATCAAAAAACATTTTGTCAGAGCAACTAAAAGGTTGTCATTTCCCTTGACCAAATGATGCAGTTCTGATGGAAACATCCAGATGATTTGGCTCAAGGATTGGCTTTTAAGTTTTATAAGCCTAGATAAATGCTTCAGTTATTCAGTTGTTGCTCCAAGCTTTGCAAAGGCTCCTAAAAGAGGTGGTGCAAGTGAAAATTCTGGGTCTCCAAGAAAAATTTTGCACAGCCATTTCCCCAATCAGTTCACTACTGCTTGAAATACCTTCCCTGAGTCCCTAGGAGCCTCCCCCCCCCAGTGTTTTCACCTTGGGTGACAGTAACACACAGAGCACTTTATACAGAGTGCCCTCTTTGCACATGCCCCTGTCAACCTGCTGACGGCCTGGCAGCAGTGAGCACCTCCCTGTGAGACAGAATGCTTCCTGGGCATGATTGTACTCCTACGGATGGTCCATCAGTGTTTGGCCTCTTGGTCCAACACTACTGTGACCCTCTCCAATTGCCCAGAAATCACTCCTTGTTGAACATACCCTGTTGTTCTACAGACACCAAAAGCTGTCCTTTCCATCGGGCAGATGGCAAGCTCACCGCCCTGATGCAAGTCTGGAGCCACTAGGGAGCGCCCTTTCCCTCTGGCTCCCGCCTTCAGGTGGGGAACTCCATGTGGCCCATCTTCTAGTCCCTTCCCCTCAGGTCTCTGCTTCATCAAGTTTTAGCCCAAAGTAAGACCGCAGTCCCACAGCCACAGAGAAATGAACTTTTTGCTAACTGGAAGCCTGCAGTGATCAAGTCAGTCTTTCCCCGCCCTCATTCCTAGAGGCTGGAGAGCCCCCACCTCTCTGTGACCCACTCACCCCCAACCATGGGAAGAGGGAAGGCCAAAAAGGGAGAGTGGGAGGGGAAGATTCAGGATGAGAGGGATGATCAGCTGTGAGGGGAGAGGGCAAGTCCCAGGAAATGTTGACTCCTTCCTTTCCATCCTGCCGCGCAGTCTTTTTCTTTTGTAGCACTGCCTCCAGTGAAACCCCCAGGCTGTGGAGTGATCACATAGGCACCTTTACCCCCAGAGTCAGTTCCTCAATTGGCTGGCTTTCCGAGGTGCAGACCACCAGAGATTCTCATCTAGGTTCACTGGAAGTGACTTAAATCTTCCTTTCTGTGTCCTCCCCTTTATTCCATTCCCTAAACCCACCAAACACTAAGGGCAGGCTCCCTTTGGATGCCTGGGCAGTAAAACTAGCTCATTTTCCTAGGAGACCCAGGGTGATTTCTCAGTGTAGTTATCCCTGTGTCTGCCTCTGTTTCCTCGAGGCTACTTTGCTAAAACAGAAACACAGGCCTGGGCACCTAACTGTGCCTTTGCGTTCTGAGTGGGGTGCCGCCACACGCAAAAACACCCAGAGAGGCAGTGAGGGGCCGGAGCTAAACACTTGGTGCTGGGCTTTGCTGATGATGGTATAATGTGACACTGTACAATCGCATGCTGGATTTTCCATTTTCTCTATAAAACATTTATTTTTCCTGATATAGTATTTTAGTCTTTTTGATAATGCTAGATTTTCAATTGACTGAATTTTATTTCCTTTGTATTCCCATAGTGAACAGTTCATTTAGGTAGATACCCTATACCCAGGTAATCCTGGTAGATTAACTGCTACACCTCCCTTCCCCCTTTTCTCACAGTGGACTTCTATTAGGTTATTCTCACTCTGAGAACTCTCCATTAATAATTTCTTTTCCACAGTTAACAATAAAGCTTTTTAAATGAAGAGGTTAACTTCTTTTTAAATGCCTAAAGGCACATTCTGACAAGTTTTTTGCTTCTTTTCACTTTCTTGATTTTTGATATATGCAAAGCAAATAAATTGAATAAAGCCTGTTCTGTAGTCTGTCTCAGTCTGTGACCTGCGCAGGGACATCAAACAGGCTATCGACAACTCAGACCTGAAGGGTGTCAGAGAAGCAGAATGTTCTTAAGTGGTTGTGCTGCGCAGGCAGGGCCTCCGCACAGGTGTGCCTGGCCGAGCTGATGGCCTCCAGGTGGGCATTGGTACCAGAAGCGGTATTGAAGAGGTTTGTGGCAGCAAAGACATCTGGGTGGAGGGGTGCACCTGGGGGTGAATAGAAGCGAAGAGGTGGTTGGTGGTTGTACTCCAGCCTGGCTCAGGGACTGGGTCCAAGTCCTATAGCAAGATGGGCCACCAGAATAAGGCCTTTTCAGAAGCAAGAGGCTCCCCTGTGCTCAGGTAACACAGTGTGACACAGAGAGAGGAAGAGAAAGGGGTTATAGACCAGATATGTAGCCTGGCCTTCCTGTGACATTTGTAACATTTGTAGGGTTCAGAATAAGAGTTCAGTTGGGGACATTTATGTCCAAATATTTGACATATTTAAATGAACTCATACAACATGTTTTGTTTACTGGTTTATGTTCTTCCATGACAAATGCACCTCCAAAATGACCTGAAAGACAAGGTTAGAATTTAGAATTCTCAGACTTCTCTAAGTCCTGTCCGAATGGTGTGAAAAGAGCTGAACCTCTTCTTCCCTCCCCCTGGCCCTGGCCTGGCTCCTATACCAGGCCTCGTGCCCTGTCCTGGCCATACAACTACCCCTTAGGCCTGGGATCACCTATCCTGGTAGGACAGTCAGCCCATCCAAGGACAGCCCTCTTGAGGACAGCCCCAAGAGGAGCATGCAGGCCCTTGCAGCAGACTTGGGACTGTTCAGGGGTCCCAGGTACCTGGAACATGGCCTAGCAGGGAGCTACCCCTGTTCCTACAGGTTCCTGGTCCTTTAGGGAGAAGTGTGGCTGGAAGAGGGCCAAAGTAGGGCCTCTGAAGCATGGATCTCAGGACAGAGGTCCTTCTTGCCCGAATCCCTACAGAGCGCAGTACCGTATATTGAACAACTTATGCAACATAAACACGTACAAATCAGATCAGTTCTAAGCACCTCAAATCACCTATACGAAATCGTCATTAGGCTTCCTCGCTCAGTTTAGCGTTGAATGGTTAACTAAGGGGCCCTGGGCCTCCATCTCACGATGGGTTCCTAGCCATAAGGCATACTATGTGATGAGTACATGTTGAAACATTAATACTGGGGCAAAAAGAGAGCGTTGTGGGAGAGTCGTCCGTAAAGTCTTACTTCACTTTACACAGACTTTCAATTGAGCACCCTACTATGTGGAAGAACTCAGGTGCCCAGGGCTCGTTGACGAAAGGAAGAATAAATAAAACTCTTTCAATGTCCCCAACAAATCAGTAAGCTTCACAATGCAGACAGGTAGGGCGCAGGGGGACGATGTAAATCAACCACATAATACTAAATCAGTACACAACATAACGAATACTTTGGACACAAATGGTCATAGCTAGCCACTATGTTACAATAGCCTGCAAGGTGAAGCAACCATCAGTGTCCATCAACAGAAAACATGGACTAAACAAATTGGGTCATAGTAATCACAATGGCAATATTATTCAGCCTTCAGAAGCGAATGAGAGTATGGAGTACTGTAACATGCTGGGATGAATCTCAGAAATGATTATTGTTAAGTGAGAAGCCTGACACAAATGCTCTGGTTTTATGTCGAACGAGTGGTCGTAGAATATTGGTCAGATCATAGAGATGAAAGCAGATTGGGTGGTCTGCCATCCAGTTGCAGGGAAATATGTGGATTAATGGTGACTGGCTACTGGTTACAGGTCGTTTGGTGGGTGGTGACATAAAAACCCTGGGGCTGCTTTTGGAACTAAATAGAAGTGGTTGCACAAATACTGAATGCGTACTAAATGTTACTGAAATGTTCAGCTTTAAAATTCTTAATTTTGTTTATGACTCCACCTCAATTTAAAAAATGGTAGAAATGTTGAATATAAGGTGTGCTCACGGGCAGAAATTAAGTAGAAGGTTATCTCCCAGTCGCTACCCCAAGGAACACTAGGAAGCCTTCATCTACATCGCCGAAATGAAGCTGTCTGACGCTCACTCGCACCCCCCCGTTGCCCTTCTCCTGGATCCTCTCTCTGGTCACATGAATGACTTCAGTATTTCACCCGCCCCCTTAAACAGAGTCTAGAGATCAGGCCACATTGTCTCCCTTTGCCTCCTTTCTTACTGTGCTCTCATTGGGCTTAGAAATATTCCAGATCTACACAAACGGCTATAGAGAATATCTGCCTATAACACTCCATGTTCCACCACCAGCTTAAGAAATATAACATTACAGAACATGTAGAGCCCTCTGTGGATCCTCTCTATAGAATACCACCCCTCCGCTTTCTTTCCTGAGGAGGTCACACCACCATCCTAAATGATGTGTTCTATCGCTTTCCAATCCACACGCTCGTTGACACATTGCCTTACATGTGGTATACCATTCTTCACATGCATGCCTTTTAGTCTCTCTGTACTGTTACCACAAATGGGCAATCATTGTGTATGTTATTCTTAGACTTTCATATACCGATGGGTATCATGTTTGTATCCCTTCTGGAACCAGCTTTTCCTTTACTGCATGTTTTATGCTGTACATTCACCCTGTCTTTGCCCCTTGTTGTTCAGCCCTGATGAGTTCCTAGTCCCCTCCCCAGCCTAGTCCCTTGCTGTCCCCTCAGTTTACCGCAACAGTCCCAAGCCAGGGGAATTAGGCTGGTCTGACAGTGTTGAAACCATCTTCCCCCACTGCTCTAACCTGTGTTCTTAATACCCTTGGCGTGCTCAGAAGCCCTGGACGGCTTGTTAAAACAGACTTGCTGCGCCCACCCCACGAGAATCAGTTTCTCTGGATTCAGAGTCAGGGCTGTGCCTGAGAATTTGCATCTCTACAAGTTCTCAGGGTCTGCGGTCCAGACTCACGCTTTGGACGCACTGCCCTACAACTTAAAGTCTGGCCGGGCTCAGCAGCAGCGCAGCTTGACCTCATCCAGCAAGCTGGGGCCATCTATGAGGTTTCCTTTCGAAACATCTCTCTAGATTCTGTGCTGGCCAATAAATACATAACATGAGTCACAGTGTAACTAAATGTTCTACGTGACCGAATTTAAAAAAGACGAAAAGGCACTGGCTGAAAGTAATTTAATATCATATTTGTATCATAACCAATATATTTATCATTTCAACATGTAATTAGTTATTTACAGAGCTAGTTTCTAGATTAGTTTTCACTTACAGCACATCCAGATCGAACTAGCCACATTTCACAGTGGTCCAGTAGGCCACCAATGCGCTAGGTGACTACGTCACGTACGAAGCGCAGCATTAACTAAAAGCTTGACACTCCCAACTCATCTCTCTCTTTACAAA